ATTTGGAAATCTCGAGGTTATATTCAATAACCCTTCTGGAAATCCTAAAATTGCTCAGAATAGTTAGCCATTAAAAATGCTTTTGATTAGATTTCTAGCGAGAAGTGCATATTGTACCTTTTAGAATCCACATCCAGTGGATGCTGTAGGATCTATAGTTTGATAGATATTTATGAAGACTTATTTCTGAGCGTCCGCTCGGGAGACGTGTATGCTTTATGTCCATGTAAACATTACTCGTCACCCTCACGGGAAAACAGTATTTCCGTCTCGAGTTTTCATAATAAACCGTATCCCTAAACTGTCAAATGATTTCACAAGTGAATATGCGTATGCAAAAGTCAAACAACACTCAGTTATCCCTTGTTAATACCACACAATTAATGATGGTGGAAAATCTGTACACCTGGCTTTTGTGTTTCCCCATCAGATTTTTCCCTGTTCGATTCTGAGGACACATTTCTTTCAGTTAGTTTGAAAAAACAATTGAGAGCTACCCCATAGTCGTCAGCTCATGGTTGAAGGTCTGATGGATAATTTTACCCGCAATGCACGTTGGGATTGTGTCTCATCTGGCGATTTGAAATCCGAAAGCATAAAAAAAAGATAATACTTTATTAACAGAGTGTCTCTTGCGCTTTTCTCCTTTGGAAGTTCATCACCATAACGGCATTCCCTGCCCGCAGCTCTCCTAAAATCTAACCGGCTGTCAACTATGGCATCTCCGTGGAAGTATAATGTATTTGTTGATGTAATGTCCTGTGTACTGCACATATCCTGCTGTTCGTGTAGGAAGTCGTATCTCCTTCGCATCCTCGGCCAAATCCGCCTCCCTCCCCTCCCTTACTTGTTTAGTTGTTTGTTGTTACATGTTTTGATGTACTGTTTGCATATCTGGAGCAAATTGGCTGTTTATTTAAAAAATAAAATAAAATAAAGAAAAAAAAAATATAAAAACATACACGGCCATTGTAATTCAATGGTTCGGCCTGCCGTAGTTCTTATTATTAGAGGCCCTGATTAGAAGAGCTTATAGACAAACTGGAAGAACTGCCGGCCGAAACTAAATATTGATGTGGCACCAATCAGGCGCTGACATTGCAGCCCTAGGCGAGATTTTAGCTGGCTCCCCCGCCCCCCAGCCAGAGAATCGTACAGTAGAAAGAGATAAAAGCATAGACGTATCCAAGGAATACACAATAAGAATGGGTAGATGACGGCCCACATCCTCTAGGGGGGGTCGCTGGGGTATCCCCCCCGGGAAGAAAATGTTGAACATTTGTAAATTAGAATGCTGTCAATGCGGTGTAACTACCGAATTAGCTACTAGCAATCAGGTGTACAACTCTAAAAACACCCATATGAAAAAGATTGTTTATCATTTTAAGAATGCAAATAAAATATAAATTGACACAAACACAATAAAAACACAGCCAAAAAACAAGAGAAAAAAACATGTTAAATATTTTTGAAAATAACTAATAAACAATAACAATAGTTATGCATATTAAATTCTAACAACTCCAACCAGAATTTAAAAAAACACATATTTGGTTTACAATGTCCTAATAAGTATACAAAAAGAAAAAAAACATTCAAACCTGTTCAGTAAAACGCCTGATATAAATTAATATTTAAACATAAAAATTGTTCAAAAAAAAAAAAACAAAGCCGTTTGAGACCACTGGGATAAACATTAAAACAAAAAAGTTACTATCAAAACATCAGCGTCCTTTACCTCACTGAGCCTGGCTCAGTGCTGACAGGAGAGGAACCTCAATCCCACATTATTGTAGAAAACATCTTCTTCTTCTACCGTTAGAGGAGCGCTAGTCACCAGATTCTTAATAACCAAGAAAAAAAAACAGGCGGCAGGTACCGAGTGCGCCCTTTCTCTCTTCGCCTCACTTCACCCTGTGGCGCCAGATAAACCAATATCCCCCACTTTCATCACGTTACAGCGCCCATCGTACAGGGCAAATGAAAAAGCGTAACCCGGGGTGAAAAGGGGTGTTACGGTTGTACGTGAATTATGAATTATTCTGCGACGATCAAGGCCAAAAAGTTAGGATGAGTGCACCGAAAACGGTCAACAAAAATTGTGTGTTTTCCCTCGCCAAGAGCAGCTCAGCGGGGTCCAGCGCATCTCCAGATCAGGGGCGCGCTAGGGCGGTAACATGCTATAGTACGCCAGTGCTAGAGGGCCGGCCGACATGGAGTGCGGGATGATAATGACTTATATCAGCAATTAAACAGACATGTTCTGTCAAATTTCGTTATCTACTATC